CCATCTCTTCAAGTCAGGGAATTAAAAACTCTTGCCTCAGGGTGGGAGCTACTTTGAAACCTGCTAAGTGTCTATTCAGTAGATCGTGCTAAAGGTATGCCAATCGACGCTCCTTGACGGAACAATTTTGGAAAAAACAAGAATACAGTATGATCAATTCTGTGCCTAATAAAGCTCCGTGATTATTTGCCACATTCTGTAATGAATGAAACTTCTACAGTACAGTATATTAGAGAATTCCATGGTGAAATATAATTCAGATATTCACAACCCCACACCTTATTGCAAATTTAGAGGGAGTCAACAGGAAATTTATTGCTGTGCTAATGATTCAGGCTAGTAGATATTTTACATTTTTCTTTCATTTCAGAAAAGATCAGCACTCCTGGGTCATTTATTTTTGTGATAATGGTTAAGCAATGTACTCTGATTGTAACCCTACAAAGTTGAACGTAACTAAATCAAGGGCAATGTCTCAGTTGTAGGCAGTAGGCTTTTCAGCAGTGCTCGAGCCTGACGACTGGAGGCCCAGATGCAGACATTTTTGTGGGTGCCCCCTTCCCCAAAATCACACACTAGCAAAGTTATTCAAGTTAATTCAACAAACAGACCCTCATTTGAATTTCATGCTCCGAGTCCACAAAGTTGTGTACAATCCGATTGATACAATATAACACGTTACTTTTCCAGTTCACTGTGTATGGATCTGGTGAAGGTCACTGGTGTGGTGAATTCCTCATTGGCACTCTGTATTCCACTATTTTCACAGCAGCTCTCCGCAGTATGTCACTAACAAGTGTTGAGCCAGAGTAAACGAAGACTTCAAGCACAACCTCTCTGCACGTTGTAAACTGGAAAAATGTCCCATTTTAGACTATTAGACCTCAGACTTTTCTTTTCTCACACATTATTTTCATGCTATTGTGGTATAGTTAACATAGTTTTACTGCAGGCATTGGGGTGATGACCCTCGGTGATTTTTCTTCTTTCTGTCTTCCCCATAAATCTTTATTCTACAATTATCATTATTTAAATACAACAGTAAATTGTTTCACACAGACCTTTGCACAGTGGCCGATGTAAGGCTGGTCAATCAAATAAGCTCATTAAGTAAGTTTTAATTAATTGGTATACCCACGCACCTGACACTAGATCTAACCCTGGCCTCAAGAAAAATGCCATCATCATGCAAACGACAAGAGACAGAAAGTCCCATGAAAGCTTTATTCACTTGTTTATACCTCAAATATTGAATGTCTGTCACTAAGTGTGATCATCAACTGCAGCACCTACAGCTTTGCCAATGCTTTTCCAGCATGTAATTTGTGTAGGCTTGCCTTGCCAAAACACTCTACACTGGTGGACTATGCTTGTGGCGAATCATTAAAAAACAAGTTGAAAACATATTTCTAAATGCTGAACGAAGCAGGTTATGAGGTGCAGATTTAAAACTGTGTGAACATTTCGGATATTCTTTGGCTGGTTTTAAAAATGAAAATAAAATCCATCGACCTTTTTGTTTGCAAAATCTTAAAAAACCGAGGGTAGGTTCATGGGGGATGAGGCGCATACTGTATCTCTTGGTAATCCGTTAGTGATCAGCAGTTTCACGGTCACATGGAATGTAACATGAGGAAAAAAAAGACGGTCATCATGATAATTGTATATATCTATATACACAGTATATAGATATATACTGTACACATAAGCATACATTTTAAATGTCTGTCCAGAGTGAAATAGATGTACTGTACGTAGAAATGATATACAGTAGCCAGCAATTAAATGAAAACACCTCCAACTGTTAGGAACATACTGGATATGTTTGTGGTATACTTACTGCATAAGCAGCAGACCAATTACCATGAATAGATAACACAATTTAAGGTTAAGGCTGATTTTAGGTAACGCTGCCATGTTAAATGACCAAAGTATGACTGAGAAGAATTAGGATTACATCTTTAGTGAATCTTTTCTAAAATGAACATGAAAACCCTGGGGAGATGATGTTTTGTCCATAAAGCGAAACAAAACAAGTATTTAGAGTCCACAACAATCAGGACTATCCAGCTATGGTGACTGTCATGGAGGTAGGAACAGTGAGAAACACACTTTGCAAATTTAGGCCAAGCTGAAAAGATGCAGCTGGCTGAGAACATTGAGACAAGGTTCCTTTGTTCATTTTAGCTGTGTGATGTTTGGGAAAGTACTTTTAATCTCCACTCCAAAGACGTACGAAGCTTCCGTGCAACGACTGAGATGCAGAAGTCCACAGAAGCTCTGCCAGATTAATGATGGTCTGTGTGCCTGAATGAAAATCAAGAACATGCTATTTAAAGTGCTTTTTGGCTGCTCCTTCCTCCTCCATCAACAGAAGGAAATTAAAGGCATGGTAAAGACCAATCAATAATTAAGACAAGGAAGTGAATTTCACCCTATTGTTGCAAATAAAGCCCAAATATAGACAGAACACTATCAATAAAAGGATTTGCACAAACACCTTACTATTTCCACAGTCAGGGAAAGCACAAATTTTTGCCAATTACAAGTGGTTGCTCTCATACTTGATTGTAGATCATTCATATCTACTAAACCTTTTTAGAAAAGTTGAGCACAAATGGAAACTTAGTTTTACTTTTGAAATTGTGACCAATTTTCAGACTTTGGTCTCACTTTTGATAATTCACTCTCTTTGACACATCTATAAAAATCAGACAGCCTGTCCTCTCCTTGTTGCCAAGCACCCTTTTCATGTGTAGAGCCAAAACTCACAAGAGTATTGCTACAATACCTCACACATGGAATAAGTACCATATGGATTACCTGAATCTTGGCACTGTCCAGAAATTCAACAAATTGTGGAGAAAAAGAGTTTTGTTTATGGTACCATAATGGTACGCTATTTTAGAAGTAGGAAAACTACACGAAGAACAGCAAATTACCACAATAACTGTTTTATAGTGTCTTTATGCAGCTAAAAAATTGTGTATTTTTTATACACAATTTTTTATATCAGACAAGATGTGATAGCAGAGAAGCCAGTGTCTTTCTAAAATCAAGTCAATTAACTCTACCTCATCTGTTATACAGAACACTCCATTTTTACAAACCTGCTTCTCCCACCAATGGTCGAATGAGTACCTTGTTCGCGATCTTTTTAGAGGTTCTTAATTAATATCTCATTAGAAGCATAGTCATTTCGGGAATAAACTGGATAACGGTTGTCATGATGCTAAAAGAAGGGACCTTCTAGAAAATACAGGGATAACTGTATAAAGCAAAAGAAATTAGACAATCTCAGTGTGCTGTTTTTTTCTCATTACCCTCTGCCCAGTAGTCCAACAGCTTATTTATTTTTTCAGACGCATTTCTTGCTTTCATGCTTGAACTACGTTTTCAAAGAGTCACATTTTTTCTTCCAAGAAGTAGCGCTCTTTATTTAATATGCAGAAAAAATCTTTTTTTCCTCACCGTTAATTTTGATACCTTGCTTCATAACACAGACAGACCTCACTGTCAGGACTTATTCCACAAACAAGTTATTAACTGCCAAAAAAATGCTTACCTGTCATTTCCCTCAACACTGCTGATTGAACAGCCTAATTGCTGTGTTTCAGAGGACAGCTTCATCAACAGAATCAACAAATATTTTTCCCAAACTCTGTAGGTTTAAACAATAAAACTTCATGACTCGTGAATAATACAATTACATGGTCCTAACAGCATAGATATGGCAACACAAAAAAAAACAGGCTAAAAATTAATGATATAGATTGACTTATGTATTCTAAGATTTCATGACACACGCTAAAAAGTACATAGTCATGAACCTTGGAACTTTCAGAAGTATAGTAAGACGACTTTGTAATATTTTAAAAACTCTAGATGAAGGGATTTCGATTATTGGCCCAGACTTTGAACCTTCTTTTCCCCCATTTTTGTCTGGAGTTCCAACGATAACACAAACTCACTCACCAAATTGCCACATTCCTGAAATAAAAACAGGGTCATCTGCTCATCAGAATACAGTCTCTCCTCCCTCTTGAAAGACACAGATTCGTCATGAACCCTCGTTAACAGTGGGACATGCCATTGCACCCACAAACTCTAGATGTAAAATTCATTACTTTATTCCCTGAGTTACATGGGGCAGCAAACCAAAATGGTCTAGGCTCATACGGCAACAGTTACAGCAAGGACATACTGGGTCTAACAAATCCTTGTTCATAAATAGCTTACAGTTTCAGTTATTGACAACTCACTATGCTCTTCTTTCAGCAGGAGAAGTTCCAAGGAGGCAATAACAATAAACAACCGTAGTTAGAAGTGCTGATGAAGCACCCCAAAAATCAATTGAACAGCTCCCATAATCATACAAAGTGAATGGTTTGCAGACAGTAAAATCCAACCACACCAGTTTCAAGAAGCAGCACACTTCAAACTCATTACAAGCTTTGTGCTGCTATGAGGCTACTGCTCTCAGGCATATTAAATACTATTCAAATGGCCTTCATCATAACTATCACCTCATTATGCAGCATGGAAATTGCTTAGCTATGACATTTTATATAATGAGAGGGGAGTGTGTTTTTGCTGATGAAGTGGATTCTTAAAGTGAGGCGTGCCTCATGTTAGCAATGTCAGGGTTAAACAAGTGGAAAATTCCCATTATTTAACTACCGCAATGTAAACGCCACCATTTAGAGTTTTTAATTACATCTCACTGTGCTGCAGTTTTGCACTTGTTATGATAGTTGTATACTTTACAAGTTACCAAGTTTTAATGTAAAACAAAATGTCTAATCCATCTGCCTACTTGGATTCTTTTACTACTATGAAACTAATGTATCAGTACTTTTGAAATAACTGCAATGCCTGTATATTAAGTGTAAGTGCAGAAAACGTCAAGCAGAACACCACTGTTAGAAACTATATCATCAGCTGTATGCTACTGAAGGCAATGTTAGTGTGTGATGAGATCAGTAAAAAAAAAGTCTTACCAAGTCCAGGGGGCACCTCAGGGCATGGAGGTAAAGGCTTGGCAGTGGGAGTTATGTTGGTTTCTGGCCTGGCGCTGTGCAAGAAGTGGTCTCCTGTGGCCAGGTAACTGGCAAATGTGCCATTGGGGCGAGAGAGGTTGTAGTAGTAGTGATGCGTCCTGGAAAAGTTTCGCCCGTTGAAACGGCTGAAGATGTCAAATCGCTGGCTGTAAACGTCGAAGTACAGGATCATCATGATGAGGAAGTGCACGAGACAGAGCAGCAGGACGGCCTTGCAGATCCTTTCCAGCGTCCTGCCCAACATCAGTCTGGTCATTTCTAGGCAAATCCAGGGCACGGTATCGGGCATCTGCTCCTTTCTCCTTGCTGCTTCTTAGGGACGGGCCGTCACCTAGGCAATGAATGAGGCAGGTTTGGAGGTTGTTTTTCCATAAAATTATATATTTTACTTAAAGTAGTTTTCATTTCGGTTTTGCGAGTACATAACAAACCAAACCAAATAATGCCATTTAATTATTTCTAGATTTGTTATAGATGTAATACATTCTGCGTTTGCAAATCTCTGTACTATAATTACGTAATGCAGTATGAATGCTGATATGCGAAATTTTATAGAGTATAGTAAGAAATGGAGATGTACAAAATAGCTGCAACTGTTGCCAACAAAACTAGGTTTGAGAACAGCACAGAATTCAGTAAAACTGGAACTAAGGCACATTATCATAAAGAGTCTCTCCTCTTCTAAGCTTCAGGACAGATTTTCACACAAATGTCTTGTAAACATTTCTTCAGACAGTTACGGTTAATTTGAAGACATCGTAGTAACAATATTAATACAATAAGAAGAATGAATGTCTTAAAGTATACAAAGGTGCAAAACAACTGTTAAAATAATGAAATCGCCACGTTTTTCAGGTCACTCAACAACAAAAATAATAGTTGCTCTCATCTCATCTTCTTGCTCTCATCTTTTTACTGTATGTCAAAGCACATCAGATGTATAAGAGGGGGTCCATTTCATCCACCCGGAAAGTTCAACATCCACCTAGGCAATTCTTTGTGAGGGGGACTTGATAAAAGCCTTTAAAGTCCTCAAAGGCACTGACAGGCAAATCCTGTGGATTTCTTCCGAATGAACAGTCAAACACGAACCAGAGGATAAAGTCGATATGCTGGCTTCCGTCAAGAAACACCAACTACTCACTACCAAACAGGCAAGAGAGGCTAGACGGCCTTCTCTCATTTGTAACCAGTCTTAGATTCTTGGCAGCCGTTGTGTGCCAGCAGACCCGTTGCAGAGAAAACCAGGTGGACAAGGGAGAAATTTATTTCACAAATTAACATTTAGAGAGAAATTTACAGTAGTGTACAGGTTGGCTAATTACAGTCAGGACACTAGGATTCTGAACTTATGAATAGTGCCTTGAGATCTCTAATGGCCAAGCAGTCAGGACCTCAATTCAACATCTCATGGCGTCTCCTACAGCATGGTGACCATACTGGGGTGCTGTTTTGAAAACTGGGGTTCTTAGATTCTGAGAGCTGACATCGGGCAACAAGGTGTTCGACCTCTTAGGACTGATATTCCAGCAGAGTGCCAAAGTCCCTCGCCCTTAAGCACATGCATAGAGGTGGAACAGTCTGAAACATTACTCTCTGTAGTGATTTAACCAATTTCAATTGCATTTTAAGTCAAGTTTGTTTACACTAGCCAATACTGAAAAAAGTTTCATGACATTCATACAGAAGAGTCTGCTGCTGAGATGTTGGATCTTTTTTATGGCTTTGGCTGCAATGCACTTTTAGGTATAGTCACAGATTTACTGCTGAAATAGAAGTATTTTATTTGTGATAACATAAAAACACACAATAACACAATAATAAGAGTAAACAGAACACAAACCAGGAAATCTGTGGTTGGTCCTAGACAATATCTGGGGATTATACTGTACATCATGCTGTGTAGATTTTTAAACTGTGATGCCAAAAATAGCTCACAAGCTCCCAGCTCACAAACTCCTGCTCAGATCATGTACATACAGTAACAACTCCCATTTCAGATCTTTCTAAAGCTGATCTTATGAAGTCACGTTTTTTTTTCCTGCTTTTACAGTCTTCTAGACCCACTGCTTGAATCTGAAAATTGTCAAGTCAGTATGTCAGAACAGAATGTACTGTATATACAACAATTATATAGTTGTAAATTCACCTATCACACTGGATTCTGGTTTTATACTAAGAACTGAATTTCATACTACATAAAACATACAGTAGCTGTGTCCCTGCTCTGTGATCTCCATTAACATGCCTAGCCTTCCTCCATACTGTATATACAGCTAAATCAAAAAATCATTTTAGGACCAACTCTACAGCCTTTTCAGAAAATGCTCGTCCATCTTGCCTAATTTGTGGTTCCTAGCTATATGTGCTTTCACATCAATTGCTAGAAAATTGCATTTCTGATCCTTGACAGAAGCTACTCTGGGACATTATTACAGGCCCCTTTTGTCTGTGAATATAGACATGGTTCTCTTTCAACACTTCATTGTAAGTGATTTAAATTTTTATTGGATTTCCAATATAGAAAAGAGCAAATAACACAATTGTAGCTGCTGGAGCACAGCCCTCTGAAAAGAGGAGTCAACAGGCAGGGTGTGTCGGCAACTACCCACTGCTGATGCATCCACCTGGTTTCGAATAAAGGGGGCTGAAAACTATTAATAAAATAATTAATAAAGGATATGATTTAATTAATATTTACAGCAGCGTTAATAGTGCTATTAAAATATTGAGCCGAGCACAGAAACAGCTTAAAGAGCTATATCATAGTGCATTTCAAAAGAAATGCTCAGCTTATCATTGATGATCCCTCCTACCTTCTTCATTTTAAACTGCTACCTTCAGGGAAGCATTACAGAATGCCTATGGCCAAGAAAAATGTATACAAGGTACTGTATATTAAAAGCAGCGAACTATTGCCTATTGTATTGGACTATTGTTTATTTTCACCGTGTATTTATTTTATGCTATTTCTTTGTTTTATGTAGTTTTGTACAGTATGGTGATGCCAAAGCCAAAATTCCAGCCTTTTGGATGGACATTAAATGAATAAAATAATAGCTTTTGAATATTCAAATCAGTCATGATGCTTACCATGATCGAATTATTACATTGGGAAAGTCTGTGGATGTGTAATAAGAACAGTGCCGAAATTAGTAATATAGTATTTTATATGTCTGTGCAATTAGTATAATTCTAAATGTGGTCTACTTTCTAGATCATTGTTCTTTTAAAAAATGAAGGAATGAGTTATGCACTTCTTCAATGTACAGTATCCCATGTGTGCACGTCCACATTAATTCTGAGGTAATTAATGAGGTATTATAAAGAGCAAAGGCATGGCTCCATGATGTGAGCATGTCATCTTCTTCACTATATAGGAGTATTCCTTATACTTTTCTCTTTACTTGGTTGTCTGTCTCCAAACGCATAAAGAACAGTAACTTTAACCAGCTCCCTTACCACCTCAACAGACAATAATGTCACTATGGCAACACTCTGGTGCAGGTGCAGTCGTATTCCTACATAATGTTGTTCAAGAATGTTAAAATAAACATAAGAGTAGATTCATTAGCCATAGCTGCTAGGAAAATAAGATAGATTTTAGATGTTCGAGACCAGTTTTACTGCATCAGGAACCTCTTCAAATCCACAAGGAAGAAAATATTTCCAATTAGAATAAAAGCAACATTCTAGGCTAAATACTTCCAGCAGTTTTCATAGCCGTTTTCTACAGGATGATATTGTAAAAAAAAAAAACTAAGGGAGGCTGAAAAAGCTGCAGTTTCAAAGCTTCTTTTGTACATTAAAGCTCTAGTGCTAAGAACAGTAAAAACCCAAGCAGCTTGGGGCATCCTGCATGCAAAACTTCTCTCAAAGTAAGCTTAAGGAAGAAGAAATGTCTTCTTTGTTCCTGCAGTTCCTGCTGCGCTGCCGAGTCTGATCATAAGGATGGTTGCAGGGATTTTTTTCTATTTTTTCAGTGATCTTATCACCTATGAAGTTTGTGGAACTTTGCAATATTACAGATTCCCTACAGAAGCATGAATGGTAAATGCCAAACAGTACTTAGTACATTATTATTAATAATCAAGAGTTTTCATTATTAGGGGCACTAGCAAATGTCATCGGTCAATATTTTTTTGGGGGAAAATGTCACCGGTCAATGAGAAATATTTATCACAAAAGAAAATGTCATCAATAAAAATGGACAACGTTTTAATAGAGCAGCTCTGAATTTGCCATCAATGCAAAAACAATATAAGATTAACAGGATCTCTCTTTTTAGACAAAATCAATTATATCAACGCACACATTTTCCCCTTAAAGCTGTTTATTTGCAAAATGTAAATATTTTAACATAACATAACACAGACCGCAGGGTGAGCACCCCCCTACTGGCCCCACTAACAGCTCTTCCAGCAGCAGCATTCATTTTTCATCCAGGTACTGGGCAGGCTCACACCTGGCAGTGGGCTGCCAGTTGTGAGTTTCAGGGGGACAGAGCACCTGGCAATTTCTTTTTAAATCTGCTGCAACTAACCACACAAATAATGACCTCCATACCAAATGGTAACAATAAAGTTGAATGCAGATCTTTTGCCATCCATCAGAGATGACATGAGGATAAATATTGATTTTCTTTGGCATTTCAGTGGAACATGACCGATATGAGAGATAACAAATTGAGTGAATATGGTGTGAAGTAACAGGTTCAGCTCCACTGTGCATTGTTAGTAATGTAAGCCAACTCTTCAGGAGAATTTCTCAAGCATCGTGTTGAACTGTGGGATTGTTCTCTGATGAGAAAAATCTTTAATCAATATTAATAATTAGTCCTATAACACATATCCTACAGTTTAGAAAAACTCAGTTAGTAGTTAAATGAATCTGTACTGCCTGAATAGTAATGAAAAAAGGCTTAAATCTTCCATGCATTTTGTATTTATATGGAAATATATTCAACAAAAATGGGAAAAATGCATACAGCATGTACTGTATGTTCAAATTTTAATCCTACTCTGGCTCTGCATGAGAAAAATTTCAATCAGCCTGTGGAAAACTCATACATCGTACGCCATGCATTAGATACTGTAAGCTTGTCATCACTATTTTTTACAGCAGGATAAAGACCCTTCTGCTTTAAAATGAGCTAGAACTGATGCCCAAAACACCGTACTGTATGTATTCAGTTTATTTAAATACTAGGAGATTTTAACTTACATACTAAATTCTTATTTTTATTTGTCTTCGATC